AATAAGCCTACTACTTTCTTGTAAAAAGACTTGCCTTTGCGAAGCCCATGTTTGTCTATATTTGCAATATAATAAGCTATAAAGTAATATTTTTTCTGGACGGCTTCGTAGTGCTTAAAAACGCGTTTTATTTTATTTAGAAAGTTTATAGCAGCTTTAGCAGCCTCAAAAAAAATCTGTAGCTTCGTTTTTATATTTGAATGCTTTATAATAAAGCAATTAACTTAGTAGCTACCAAACGTGTAGCTATGGCTTTAAGCTTTTAGAATACACTTAGCGAATTAAGCAATTTCCTAGCGATAAAAGCTACGGCCAGCGCTTTCAGAGTAATAAATCCAGTCAACTATTTCTAATTTGACCTCAGAGCTCAATAAACGGTCGATTTTGTAGGCTTGTTCGCAAGATAGATCCCCTTAAAGTCGTCTACAAAAGGTAAAAAAGCTAACTCCGTACGTTTCGCACGCAACCTTTTGTAATTGGCCATTTTTAACCGCTGCAAATGCAGCAGTAATACGCTGTTTATAATCTATAGGCATTGCAAATCTAGTCAAAAAAAACGCGGTTTTAGTAATTATATTGCTATATTATTAGTAGTAGTAGTGCTTTTGGTGGTGATTCACCGCTAATTTCATTAGGGGGCTAATTTCATTGGGAGGTGGGGGGCTCTAGTGTATATCAAGCCCATATCACCCCACTATTAACAGCATTCAAAATCCACTAAAATTAAATTCAGGCAGGTTGTTTATAATGATTACAACTGTGAATCCTGATATAAGACTTTCAGTAGATAGGGCGGTTCTAAATTATCTCCAAAATTTTCAAGTTATGTACCGATTTGTTTCTCATGAAACACCCCAATTCAGCATGTAAGTTGAGCGTGGGGTCTTTTTTACCTGCCTAGTGGTTAGTTAAGGCTGAGCTCAGCCTTGGCTCTAGGTGGCCTGCTACGAGTGGAAACATCATGATCTGCGTACCATTGGCATTGTAGGATTTTGAATGAGAATATGTTTCATGGGAAGGGCGGCGATCCCCCAATGAGCTTGCAACAATAACCTGTTAGAAGCCGTGTCTCATTTCCACATCCCGACCTATTGTGGCACATAGGCATTTTAATTCGCCCCCTACTTACTAGGCGGTGCAGGAACATCACATCGTTACAGCACCTAACGTGCGTATGCGAAAATGATGGTCTCAGCATCGGTACATATCAAGTTAGGAGCCAAGGTAAGCTATCACTCGAGTCAGGCAGACAATGGAAGATCGGAGACCGAAATAGGTTGGGTTACCTGCTCTATGTTCATTCCCCCATAACAAGGGAGTTTGCATTTCCGATAGATTGGGCTGGCGTCAGAACCGCTCAGCCTGTTTGTTCCATTGATAGACTGTACACTAGGACTAGCCCCTATGTAAGGACCCGCGGTCTCGTTCCTCTAGTGCTACATGTAATATTTATTCTGCAAGTCTCTCCAACAAGTAGATTTCGTTGTATAATTCCTTTGTCTTGCATTCTTTAGCTAGCTACTTTCTTTGCTCCCGAAGACTCTCCCTTCACTCGCTATTCAAAGTACTATTCGTCAATCGAAACAACGACCGACTCAGACGAACAAGTCTCGTTCACCCCCCTCCCTTAAAATGCCACAGGAGAAGTACGGCCAAGAGCAAGGCGTATACGGCCAAGCGCCAACGGCATATGGTCAACAACAACCGTATGCACAGCCGGCACCAATGGCGGCAAACCAGCAGCCTCAGGGACAGCTAGAGAAGCCCGCAGACGAGTGGCAAAATAGTGTTTGCAGTTGGGGACCCTGTTCCTCGTGTCTTCTAGCGTGGTGTCTGCCATGCATCCTCCTAGGCCAAACCTCAGAGCGCATGCGCGACCCCTCGATGCAGAGTGCCGATCCGCTGAACTCGGATTGCTTCCTTCACGGAGCCATCAGCTGTTTTACTGGTTGCGGTTGGATGTATGCTCTCTCTGTTTCTCCTCCCCTTTGTCACCCTGTGTTGCCATTTGGCCTCTAGACATGGAACGTCCAGACTAACATAAGTGACACAGTTATGCCACGTTAAAGCGTACCGAGATCCGCGAGCAATACGGTATCAAGGGAAGCGGCTGCGGTGACTGCTGTGTGTCGTTCTGGTGCTCGTGTTGCGCGCTCATCCAGCAAGACAACGAGGTCAAGATCCGACAAAGGACTCAGCCCATCACCCAGGGCTATCAAGTTCAGCCCGGAATGCACATGCCGCCTCCACAACCGGCGTACCACCCACAGCAGTAATTCGTCCGGCCATCTTATGTAAAACAAAAATGACAGAACGGCTATAATAAAAGCGGCAGTCGATACAGCAACATGCTATAATTTTCTTTGTCTGATAACCTACTCGGAGCTGGCGCGATGCATTGGACTCTTTGACGTTCGGTGGGCGAATTGTGGATTTAAAATTCGGGATTGGTTCTAAAAGCACCACTGCTCGCCCGCTGCAGGGGCAGTATTACAGGGAGCGTGCTGTGCATAAGTTAAGGCGGAGACTCGGCACTCACCTATATTTAGTGTGCATATTTTTTTATACCCATTAGAAAGCCTGCTGCTATCTTACCTACCTAAGACACTACCTAACAATATTTGCATACAATGAGATTCAAATTATCAGTATTGAAGGGAAGAAGCGACCCGGGTCAATTTTCATTCAACTCGAGTTTCTATGTTTCCTTATATGCCTCCTATCCAAATATTCAGAGATGCCGGGGTTGGTTATAAGCTATCTCTGGGGTCTCCACAGAAATATGAAAACTGTTAGGCAGCAAGAAAGTATATCAGGACTCCGTAGCTTCATTCGAATGGCTCTCGATCGCAGTGAAATACATGTAGAGACGATCAATTGTATGAACTAGACACTCAGAAATTATCTACTCGGCTCATGCATTTATTCATACATAAACGATGACATCAATTAGCGACGTAATCCGACCCGTAGGCTCACAGTAAGCTACTAATAAAACTCATCTATCATGCATGACACACGGCCTTTCATCGCTTCTCATCACAACTAGTCTACTCTCATCTCATTTCATATCGCCTCGTTTATTTATATCGTGACTAATACATTCTTATTCACAGAGCCAAATTTAATACCGCCCGACATAGTTTAGGGATCCTACGCGCAGTGATCGTAACATGCCGGTACAAGGTACCAGCCTCCTATCTGCGGCAACAATCGCTTTCCCTACATGACGCGATCGAGAATGCGCTGGCGGCCGTGGTTCTCGGGCAAGCGATGCTAGGCGTCGGCATTGCGGGCGAAGACACCAAAGAACCAGCTTTCGTGCACCTCAAGACGATCGACATCCGCCGTATGATCGAGTGGAAGGAGCTTATTATACCAACTGCCACACCCAGCACCCAGACTGAAGTAGAGAATGGGAGTAAAAGTAAAGAGGAGCAAGAGACGGCACATTATGAAGATCTCCTACTCCGCTCTCTCGAAAGATACCACGAGCCGCTCTGGGAAGACCTCGCGGGCAAACCAGGATGGAAGATTGTCGTGCACCACGATCCACGACATCTTGGAGCTCTTCAATCCCGAGGGTCTCTTAGCCCAGAACATAAAGACGAAGAAGACGACATGTTGTTACCCTTAGATATATCATTTTGCTTCCACCACGCGTACTCGGACGGGAAAGGAGGATATATCTTCCACGGTGACTTCCAGCGAGCACTGAATAATGCCACCCAACCCCCTGAGCTCCAGAATCATATCCTCTATCTACCTAGGCCCCCTGTCCTTCCGCCCCCCATGGATACGCTCATCCCCTTTACACTATCCTGGACTTTCATTTTGCAGACAGTATGGACAGAGATCTTGAAGCCTCTACTTCCCATGCATCTATTCCGTCCTGAGCCGAGCAAGGCCGACATCCCTTGGACCGGGGCACCCATCAACGGGTCGAACCCGAGGACACATATTCGCACGTTACTCAAGGTAGATAACGAGTCGCAGCTTAACGGACTTCTAGCGCGATGCCGGAGCCATGGGGCTAGTTTGACCGGATTGCTGCACGCGCTAATCGCACGCTCGCTCGCTCGTCATGTGAAGGACAGGCCATTTCGCTCTACGACACCCATTGCACTTACGCGGTATGTGGATGTCGATACTGCGGGCTCAGCATTCATACCGGGAAAGACCATCCATTGTTTGGTCACGACGCTTTCGGCGGCTCACGATCTTGATACTATTCGGCAGTTGCAGAAAAACCAAGACAAGAGAGACACGCGACTAGACGATGACGCAGCAGTCTGGGCATTCGCGCAGGACATAACGGGCCGTTTGCGCGCTAGTACGTATTCCTAAATGTTTCATTTCCCCTTTCGACGCCATGCCGTTCTCCAAGCTCTCGGATCTCACGAGAATGCGTCAAATCCCCACCACAAGTAATAATTCTAACACCTGAATTCTTACAGAGACCGCCTCACTGCCGCGCGATGATATTCTAGCCCTGTCTGGCCTTGTCGGCGACTGGCACGAGTTCTTCCGCAGCAAGTTCGGGAAGGCAAGGGATACCACCTGGGAGCTGTCAAATCTGGGCAGTCTCAATGCCACTGACGCGGGGAGATCCGGGCCCGAAAACGTGCTCAGGGGGGGAAAGGAGGGGCACTGGTTCATCGACCGCGCGGTCTTCACGCAGGGAACTGCCGTCGGCTCCGCCTTATGCATCAACGTTGCTGGCGTTGCCGAACACGGTGTTTACGTAACCATTAGTTGGCAGGACGGTACTGTGGATATCGAACTGGTGGAGGAGGTGGTTCGTGATGTGCAGGCTTGGGCTACTGAACTTGTGGAGGTTTAATTAATTAACAGTTCGCATTAATAGGTGTGCTGATTGTCACGGTCATAACCAATGTTCCATGTATAATATATGTACAGATCCAGGTAGTAGTAGACCTTAGACTTGCCTACCTCAAACAAAAATGAAGCTTTATTTTCAAGGATAAGAAAAAAGATGGTGCACGAGGTGAGGGTCGAACTCACGACTTTTGCATACCTTATTCACACAAGCTACACTACGTATAGCAAGTATAAGAGCAACACGCTAACCACTGCGTCACACGTGCGCGGTAATATCACTATGGATTATTCGATGGTCGACAACGGTGATTATTTCTCTTTACATAATGCCATGATGCACCTCTCGCGAAGCACAGGAGGTACATACCTATCCACTCGAGTACGTACGATAGCGGAACTAGACAGGCTTGCAGCCGGATGTCAACCGGTTCAGGACGGGGCTATTTGGTTTATAAAACAGCTCATTAATACATATATCGAACTCTCGACTTATCACACAGTACCTAACAGCTTACTATACTCACTGATTAGAATAAGAGCGCAAACAAAAAAGGTACACTGCCTAGGTAGTGTAGGTGCATACAATAATAGGCTATGTGAGTGGGGCTCGGTCCTCGCCTGTTAGCATCCGGTGGCGTCGCTTAAATCCCAGCTGTAACCAGGATTGTTGCAGGAAACATCACTCCCAATCGGGTCCATGATCGCCCATTTGACGACAGGCATCAAGTCAGGCATCTTTCTTGTCGATGCACCCTGGGGTTTGGCGATGTTGGCATTACAGTTAGCGTAGCAGCGCGCGTGTGTTCGTTCCTCAACTCGAACTTGGCTGCCGCTATTGGTGGGGTCCCTACCGCTGTGCACTAGTTATGCGGAATGCTACCTCTCAGATGCGCTCAGACGCTCGATGGCCCTGTTACCGTATTGATAAAATAATAAAGTAGATCGATCATAAAACCGGTATGATGTAGCGACACGCTCCGATGGACCCTTGAGGAGGTTGAAAATCGATTATCACATTAGTTGACTACATGGCGTCCTTGGTATACAAATCCTTGAGCAGCCGCTTAATATTAGCTACGTAGTATATCCATCTCGGCCCCCAAGAGGCTTGGATAATTAGTCTCACAGGCTACCCTAGCGTTAACAACGGCAAATATTTCTAAATACGTAAAGACGGCCTTTAGTCCAGACATACACTTAATCACTTGGATCATGAAACCGGGTGAAATTCAGACCTAATGTGGCATACATCACAAATATGTTTAGGCAAGCTGTGTGATCCGAAGTACATTAATCATTAAGAATCGTTGAGATCAAACGTAGCGTGTATTACAAAATTTGTCAAGAAATACATGTGCGGTACTGTAAAGAATTTTTTTTTTTGGTCTGAAAAAAGTGATGGGGAGAAATTATATTAAAACACACCAGACTTCACCAAACATAAACTTAAAATTTCTTAGATATTTAATATACCATGGAAGAAAAGTTAACGAATAAAACCCCTTAACATCTTCCTAAATCCGTGCACTATTTTGTAAATATTGTGAAAGTTTCATATAAAACCCCAGGAAAGTATGTGTTACCTGTCTAATTAACAAGGTAAACAAACTGTTTGATTTTGGCCCTGGACTGGGTATAGGATTGAACGAAAATAGCACCGATCCGAATTTACAAGCAATCCTTAGTCTTGGCGATATTTGCTATCGTACGAGGATCCCTCCAAGGTTCTCAATCTCTGCGTTTTGTTGATATTACATAAAGAGGGCCTCGTCAATCGTTGATTCTTTGGTTTTTGACACCTATCACACTTACATCGGACATCGTGCATGCGTAACGTTGCTACAGACTTATGCTACTAATATTTCTATTAGTCGATCTTGAGCCCAAAAAGCCACACGATATCAGCCGCAGTGGTCGGAGGCCTCCAAACGATTCGCCCTCGATACCGTGATTCTACACATGTGCTCTCTTCGGTTGCATGCAGCAGCATCTCGCCACACACCTTGCGATTCTCGGGCTGATTGACACCGAATCAAACCCCGCCGGGTAACCTTGCGGGCTTGTAACTGACTTATCTAGGTACATGCCAGATAATTAGGTACTAAATACGTCCGGAGTAGTAAATATCTCGATCGAAAAGGTGCGAACCTTGGGTAGATGCTGGTATCCGTGACTCTGTCGATTTCACGACGCAAAATAAGTACAATAGCTAGGTAGTTTGAATCGATCGTCTTGTTTGCATACCTAGGTATCCACGGTGAAGCACACCTATACATGTCGTGTAATCAAACCACTGCTCACATGTTCCAGAGCTTAAATTAAACGTCCCCGAAGCCAAGAATTTCGGCTTACAACCAAGAGATAACGTTGTCGTCTTCTATCATAAACTCGCGAGTATATGCGTCATCCATCCATCGGGATAATAAGATAATATCTTCATCATCATCCAGCCGACAACGGAATATCAGGGATGTAAGCTCCTGAGGCACTTTTTTATCATCCACGGCGTCCAATCCGTTTGCCCCAGGGAGAATCGGACCCCGGTTTTGTAGGGTCGTCGTCGGGTGAATGGTAAAGAACACCTCAATCACGGTATGAATGGTCGATCATGTGATGGAGGGTGAGCATCATCTGTCGCCGGCGTATAGACCATATCGTTATTACTTGGGAATGCCGTAATACTGGCGTTACTTTGCGATAACATCACACGAACCAATGAACACGGGGCTAACTAAATTTCAATGGGAAGTAGCCGTTACTACTTGAAAAGAAGTAGTCTACAATGCTGAAATTAAAAGGCTCTCAAACGTATATATATCATGTAGTAATGTTTGCTATTTTGTATGTTTTGTAACGGTTCCAACCGTTGGCATAAATACGTAATTGCAGATACCTAGTCAAGTGACCTAGGAATGATAAAAAGTTTGGTACTGTGGCGGAGCAATGCAGCAGTCCTGTTTCGCAGCGTCCGTTGTGCTGTGGTGTACCGATCCAGTCTAGATCTCAATGCTGTGTTACTTACCATCCCTGCAGTCTACAGGTGCAAAGATACCTTACTGATCCAGGAATGCAGAAATGCCGCTCTAGGAGAGGGGGGTTGCAACATGGCGCGAAGGGGGTGTGCTCATTAACGGACAACAGTACAGTCCCGTCTCGGGGTAACGGGGGAAGAAAGTTTTGAGGGGTAACGCAAACTGACCTCACGCGTGTCTTAGAAGGCCCGCCTGACCTCATCATCTTAATCATTCCGCCTTTCTTAGTAAAAGCGGCAACGAATTTCGACGTCTTGATCAAAAATCACGGGCAGCAACTCACGAATCGGAGACCCGTCTACTAGATCTCTAAAAAATCTGCTCATTTTTTATGTATGTGTGCTGTATTGAAGTAAGCAGAAGGCCGAAACGAGAAAGGGGCGGCTTGGCTTAACCCTTGGGTTTAGGGGTAGATTTAATCATAATTACACTTCTATACACCGGGTAAACATTGGCAACTAAAATAATGAGCTCCGTTCGTTAAAACAAAACACGTTGAATTCAGAGCAAACAAAACGGATGATGGATTGTTACTAGTAATGTTTGTAAGTGAATGTGAAGAGGACAGGTGGCTAATGTGAAGTCAAGTCGATAATCGGGAGGCTATCAAGTAGGCTGATGTAGCCACATGTGGCTATATAAAACTACCCCTAACCTAGTACATCTCTATCTATTGGTCTCAGCCATACTCTCCAAGCCCACACGCAGCACTTCAATCGTAACAGGACTCCGACCACGAGTTGAAATCGAAACATGAGCGCCTTTGAATGGTTTAGCCACGTCTTTCTTTTGCTTTATGTTTATTCTATAAGAGTAAATTTAAAAATCGTATTGTCTGTTGGGTACATCGTTTTGTTTCCGTGGTCGACGGTATAACAAGAGCTACTATGTAGGGCCTAGAAAATGATTTCGAATTACGAATGATCTCCTAAGGTACTAAAGGTTCTTTGACTTATTCTGAGGCCTTCAGAATAGCACTGGGGTTCTAGGCCTACAAACACAAAGTCACTTTGCGCAGTGACAAGCGGCGCCAGCATGGATATATCATGGGACGGCTAATTATCACAACTACTAGTCACATAACTATAAGTGGCTAAATGAACATTTCTGACAATTCATATGCAATTTGAAATTGAAACGAGAGACAGCTATCAATATCGTTAAGGTATACTCATTCCAAGTCAATACATAACATGACAGGCGGCGTAGCCGTCGAACTTCAAAGGGAAATAAAACAAAGGAAAAAATGCAGGCACATCTATCTCGAATGCGCTATCAAGATAACCACCCAAATCTAGCACTGGTGGCCAGGAAAAACAATGCTAAAATCTTTCACCTATGTACTCTGCATCCCCGAAATTTTCATGCGAATTCTATAATTCGCCAGCGAAAGAAGCACCACCAGCGTCTTTATCCACAGCCATACTGTGCTCGAGACCACACACTTCGAATAGCTTGACGGGCGTGATATCTGGGGGAGTGCCAACGACACCCTGGTTCTTCAGACGCAGCAGCGTCTCGCGGATAGCGATGTATGCAGGCGCTATCGTGGCGAAGCTGAAGATCATGATGCGGAAGCCCATCTGGCGGGCCTCTTCGACAGTGATGAGGGGGCTCTTTCCGTTCTCGACGGAGTTGAGCAGAAGAGGCCAGGGAGCGAGGTCCTTGACGGCCTGGGCGGCCTGCTCTTTGGATGTGAAGCCCTCGAGCAGACCGACGTCAGCACCCTCATCGCGAGCCTGGCGCAGACGACTTATGCACTCATCGTACCCGAGAGTCTGCAGGGCATCGGTGCGTGCAATAAGCACAAAGTCGGACTGGAGGCGGACGCGGGCACCATGAGCGGCTCGGATACGAGCAATGTACTCATCGGCGGGCACGACCCTCTTTCCACCGAGGTGACCGCAGCGCTTCATCAACACTTGGTCTTCTAGGTGGGCACCTGCTACACCAGAGCGGATGTATTGCTCTACGGTGCGGGCAGCCATGATAGGACCTAAGGCAGAAAACCCATTAGCAATGCGTTCTTTCACTAGGCATTTCTGTATGATAAATTATGGGTTTGTGTATGTGTATATGTGGGTTATTTTTTCTTGGGTTGTTCTCACCTCCATAACCAGTATCCATATCGGCGATTAGGGGCGGGCCGAAGGGGTCAAGGTTGGCAATCATCTCGGCGTTCTCCCGCATTTCATGCAGCTGGGCAATAGCTAAATCGGGCTGCCCAAGGCGGG